GATATAACCCACATTGCCTAGAATGCCACTGGCTTTCACTTTTATATTTATATTTGAACACCCTTAGAATTATTTTTTAAATTTAAATGAAATTTATGGCAATATAATATACCTATAATAGAATGAACACATTTATGTGTAGAGTTTGATGTACATTGGCAAACTCTACCTCTGTGAACACCATAGTCAAGATAAAGAATATTTCCATTACCCCCAAATTTCTTTTTGCCTCTTCCTAGTTAATCCTCCCCATACCCAGTCTTCTGTACTAGAAGCCACTGCACTGTGTTCTGTTAGCATAGTATTCTTTTTGTAGAATTTCTTATAAATCATATATTGTTTCATGTACTTCCTAAACTCACCACATATAACCAAATTGATACCCAGCTGTGACATGGCTTAGTAGTTACTTTTTATTGCTGAATAGTTCTCCATTGTGTGGATATGCCATGATTTATTTATTTACTCACATTCTGATGGATATTGTGGTTGCTTCTAAATTGGAACTCTTTAAAAAGCTGCCAAGAACATTCATGTTTAAGTCTTTGTATAGAAATATGTCTTCTTGTCTTTGGGATATATAATTAAGAGTAGAATTTCTAAATTCATTGGTAGGTCCATCTTTACCATTAGAGGAGGCTGCCAAACTTTTCCAAAGGGTTTATACCCCTGTTAGAATTTTTAAGTTCCAAAAAGAAATTCCAGAAGGGCACAAGCTAAATCATATGTTAATTTAAATATATTTATTCCAACATGCAGTCTTTGCATTCACTAATACTTGTACCTGGAGTACTTACATCTTTCTGTCCTATTTTATTGACATAGCAGGATAAATATATCCCTTTTTACCTCTTTTAGCTATAGATCTAGTCTTACAGGTATAAATGAGGTAGAAGTCTTTTATAGTTCTGATAGCTGAATTTCACTTTAGGGAGCAATTTTGCTAAAGAATACGATGGTTTAGAACATGATAATAGGAAAGAAAATTAAGAAGATGAAATTGGTATCAGATTGATCTTCTGAGCCCTAGTTCTTTCCATCACGAAGATCGACATGATAAAAATGCTAGCCACTTCTTGTCATGTCATGTGAATTAAATCTTAGGAGTTCCTGAGTGGAAAACATTTTATATCTGGTAAAATTTTTCAGTGAATTCATTGAAATGCCATCTTCTAAGAAATCCATTTTGAAAAGAATTGTACAGTGTGAAAATTACCAGGTAAATTGGAGAGAAATGTTTCTTCAAGTCAAAAATTTCACTTGTAATTTCGCTTATCAAGAAATTCTCGCAGTCTCATTCTCTAGTGCGTGTTCCTCTGCAGAGAGCATGAGACTCGTGAGATGCAACTTGCTAAGTAATTGATAGGAATGCTTGCCCTATAGTGGAGAGGTCATCTTATGGGCCTCAAAAACAGAAGAGTAGGTCATTTTATATGGAATCTCCTAAATGTATAGCTAGAGACATTAGTAGTTATGAGAATTACAAACTACCTATGGTGCTAATTAAGAAATTAAGCTTTAAAAACAAGAAGATGTGCCAATGAAAACTATTGCAATAAGCAATCTACTCAGCTCAGTGTTTTCAGGAATTAGTTATTGTACTGTTTGGTTTTCATAGGAATTTCTCCCAGAGCATATTAACTGCGTGTAGACACTAGGCTGCTCCTTGTTAACATTTTCAAATTGGCCAAATTTGTCTGTAGGCCACTCTTCTTTTCTTTTCAACACTTTTTGAGCCTGGTCTGGTATCATCACCTCATGTAGTGCTCTAAAGACCACCATTTGCATCCCAGGTCCAGCCTTTTGTATAAGCAAGCTTTGATGTCTCCTGCTTATAGTAGCACAGACTCCATCTCAAGAAAGCATCTTGGTACTCACATCAATAACAAAATAGTTAACAAGTATTGGAATATGCACACACACACCTCTGCAGCAGGAGTGATTGCAAATCGTGGTCAGGGTTGGGATTATCGATACCTAAAGAAAGAGCCACTAAAAACTTACTGACCCAAGTCAATTTTATGCGTAGTTGACACATTAAAAGATGTATTAATAATTTCCCATTATTTTTCTTCAGAATTACTGTTCTATTTGTAAAGCAGTCTTCTGAGATTTTATGCTTTTAGAATATCATCTACTGTAAAATATATGAGTTTTTTTATACCTATCTAGCCATTATCTAGATTTTGATGTATATATAAAGAATTAAGTTGAAACTATGTATGTCAAATTGTTATTCTTTCTTCATTCATTGACATAACAAATATTTTTGGGGTTCCTGGAAATAGAAGAATAGTTTATAATTGTTTTGGGGTTTCTTTTTGCTTTTTGTTGGTGTTAATATTATTAAAAATTCAATTTGTGGCCAGGAATTTAGCTCAGTGGTTCCACTGCCTGCCTCGCAAGCACAAGGACCCGGGTCCGATCCCTGGTGCCACAAAAAAAAAAATTCTGTTTGTCTGAGAGAAAATAGCACTTTTATAATTTCCTATCTGAAATACTTTGCCAGAATTAGAAATTGCCTAAAATTTGCACTTTTTATTAAGATTCTGAAAACTGGCCTATTAGGAAAGGCTGATTTGTCTAATGTTATTACTAGAAAATGAGGAGGCCAAGATGCAGAAACACTTTTAATTATGTGTGCTGTTAAAGGTTTATATCAAAATAATGAATAAATTAGGAAAATGTGAGTAGTTATAGTCTATTCTTTAATTCTCAAAATGCACATACTCATTTTTATGATGTTACTACACTCACCACATTTCTTATTGTATCAGAATATTCCCTATTTTTGCTGTCAAATGAAATCTTGCAATTTTAAAAAGTCAATTTTCACAGTGGTGCAGGTCAGGAATTGATTTAAAAATTCTCAGGTAATCAAACTGTGTTTCCTTTGGCTTTGATGATTAGTCAGGAGCTGAGTTGAGTGCATATGAAGATCGAAAAGCATATCTGAACATGGTCAACCATAGTGACAGAACTATAAGAGGGTCAAAGTTTGCTATCTTAAAATACAGACAGATGATTCAAGCAAATAAAATAATGGTTACCAAGGAACCATTTGTTTTTAGAAATTTAAAAACCTTTGAAGAAATTGCAAATTGCTGAACACTTAGTAAGAAGCACTAATTTAAAGAAGTCAGCTACTGAGAGTCAACAGAAAAAAGTCTGGCAAATGTTCAAAGTAAATTACAAAGACATGGTGGTCAATAGTATTGAAAGCCACTTAGAAGCCACTATCAGAACATTAGTGTTCATGCTACTGGAACCAAATAATATCTTAAATTTGTTTCAGTAATTCCTATCTAACTACCGTCCATGTATTATGTAATTCAAGTGATCTTTATATTATTGTCAAATTCTGCCTTAAAGAGTGCTTTCACAAAGGACATGCAATTCATATCATCTAGAGTTACTGTCATTTCTAGGCTAAGTCCCATGGAAATTCATAACTTAGAAATGAAAGTCACAAAGATGCAACTGCCTTCATAATGCCAATGCAGCAGTTATAAATATTTCATGAACGTTGCATGGGCAGGGGCAGATCTCCATTTTCATGAGTTAGAATTTGTACAGCTAAGTCTCTAGATTTTACTATTCATAATGCACAGTATGCCCTGTAGAGCATTCCATATAGTGCTCTTTAATATTTATGTTTAATGAAGAAATTACCGTTCTGAAAAAAGAAGAAGCCAAGGCAAAGATTTCTTGTTAAAGTATTAAGTTTTGCTGAATAGAGATGATAACAATCAGCAGAAATTACCTCATTGTAGTATCTTACCACACAAACACATAACTTTTATAGCAATACAGGGTGACAGATCAAGGCACACTAAAATTAAGTGAAAAGGTTCTTTCTAAAGGTTATAACATTAGAAATCTCATCTTAAAGAATTCAAAAGGTTAAAATACAAAGAGCAACTTTCTTACATATAAAAATATTAATTACAAATTATATACTTGCCTACTATTTCATAGTTTAAATTTATGTTTATATTTTTCCTGGGTTTTTTAATTCAAAAAACATTTTAACTTGCTAAGATAATATTACCAAGTTCAATAATGAATTGCTGTTGCATATATTAAGGTAATTTATCAAAGCACATTATCAGTACTTGTCAGAATAAATTTTGCACTCAAAGTAATGGAAAAAAGGACTATTGTATGTGTTGAAATCAAAGACCATTACTACGGCTAAGGTATTTCAATGAAAAGGATACGTGTTTGCCCTCTAAATGATACTTCTCCCATGAGAAAATAAAAGCTTGAAAAATCACAGGAAACAGGCACAGGAAAATGTCTATTCCTTGCTTTTAAAATGAGCATTTGATATTTTATTTCATTTTGTCATTTTGATCAATTCTTTCAAGTAGATGAGTGTTGGAAAATGCTGCACAAATCTTAGTAACATTTACAAAAGTAAGCTAAAGTTACTGATCAGCTCGTGTAAAATCCAAGCTGAATCATTCCATTTTAGCACATTTAGACCGATGATGAAGTTGCCGATAGATTTTTCTCTTGAATATATTTCAGCAGGACTGTCTTCTAATAATGAAAGCAACAGGCTTCAGATTGAATCTCATTCTCTTGGGAGTTTGCAGTTCAAATATATTTTATTAAGCTTAAATTACCAATGAGGTCACTAGAAATTCTGAAATGTTTCTTGAACTTACTATCAAAAGTTTGTTTCAGGCCTGATAATATTTAACTGAAAATGAGAAATACCTGCTTTCATTTGGTTCTTTGTAATTTTATTTTCCAAAGATTCCCTTGAGGAATTTAACCTTTATGTGATGAATTTGCAGTTCCCTTGAAGTGTGTTAACCTTAGTTCCCTAATGAGTCTAGGTGTAATACTGAGGGGGAATTTGAGAATATATCGTGTAGCTCATTGTCAAGTTGGATTTGTCTTGCACATCCCCAGCTTTGCTATTGCTGCAGAACACATTTTGATCACAATTCTTTAATTATGTTCTATATTTAACTGACCTATTTGAACAGGATCCAGAGCTGGTACGGAACATCTGTCGCTGGGTTAGACAAGCTGTTCGGGTTCCTTTTTTTGCCAAGTTGACCCCAAATGTCACTGATATTGTAAGCATCGCAAGAGCTGCAAAGGAAGGTAAGAACTAGTCTTACATCAGTTTCTCAGTTATGTGAATATTGGCCTGAATTAGGTAGCATACTGAAGTATGACTTGTTCCACAAGCATTTGAGTATATCTCTATTTATGCTTTAAAAAAAGTATTAAACCAAGCACTTAACTGACAACTGAAGTGGATTTACATTTGGACTTCATCTAATAAATGGACCCCAAATTTTAGTCTGGAAATACACGATCATTTATAATTTTTCCTAACAAACACTTGTTTTGCAAAGATTAATCATGTACAAGTATAATTCCCTATAATGAATGTTATCATTATGTAGATCTAAAATGTACCAATAAAATAAACATATAAAATACTTGAAAAAGTTATTAACAAAGCTAGTTATACCAAACTACCCCTAAATTAAAAAACTCATAATGTAACAATTCATCAGTACCACTTGAATCTTTAATGAGATTTTAAAAAGGTATCAGATTCCACACTGTGAAATTGCTGTTTCCTTCATATCAGAGAGTGCAGCACAGCACCTTAAACAGATACTCAATATCTGTTGAATACATAAATCATGCAGTCGATGCGTAACGTTACAAATCACATGTGTTTATCATATATTCCATGGAAATTACACCTTGACTTGCAAAGAGATTGTAGGTTACTTACACTGAATACAAAACATTTGGCATCAGTATATCCACCTAATAATTTCAAAAATGAACTCATGATAATTAAAAAAATTTAAATATGTCGAGCCTTTTAAGTGTAGTAGTAAGAGTTAAATTTATGCAGACATTTAAGAAGAGAAAATGCTCTCTAGAGAAATTGGTGTCCATTTTCCTAAGTTATGTAAGTTTGATTGGGTTTTAACCATCGTTTCTTTAAGAACTGCAGACAAATGTGTTTTCCACAGGTGGTGCAGATGGCGTTACAGCCACTAACACAGTTTCAGGTCTGATGGGCTTGAAAGCAGATGGCACACCCTGGCCAGCAGTGGGTATTGGAAAGCAGACTACATATGGAGGAGTGTCAGGTATGTGCTCTCCTCTCCTTGCATTATGCTTCCTTGCAAATTGCTGAAAAATCGGGTTATTATATTGCAAGCAAGAGTACTCTGATTTTTTTTTAATGAATACAAATTCTGATACATTTCTGGTCACTATTCCTAATAATTACAACAAACGGATCAGATTGAATTTGAAGGCTCAGTGATTGTGACTCTTAGTACAAGATGAGAGAATACCAAAATAGAGTCGTGCATAAATTCTATTCTCTTCTGCCCTGTGATCTCTTGAGAATCTCTCATTGTCATGATCGTCTTGCCACTTATTAGTAAAGGCTAATACTAGATCCTTTCAGAAGAAAAATATGTGGACCCTAATTGTAATATCTTTTCATAGTCTGAATTAGTTTCTATGCTTCTTGGAATTTTTTTTTTCTTATTAGAATTTTAAAACCTACCTTCAAACAACATTTGCCTTCACAACTGTTCCAAATACACCAATAAAGCATTACATTTAAGCTTTGGCTGACAAGACATTTCAGACCTCATACCTTTGCATATTCTTTCCCATCCTCAAATACTTGAATTTGAAAAATGAGAGAAAAGTTTTAATCCCAAGGTCTCATTTGGTCTCTTTGCCCTGTGCGCTCTGTTGCTGTGACAACATGCACTTGGCCTTGTAAAGACAATGCTGTGAGGTTCTTGACTGTGCTAGTAGGGGAATTAGTCTCCTTGGTGATGGAGAAAGTGGTAGACATGCATAACAGAGCAGTGCCCCACTGTTCAAGAAAATCATTGCTGAAGCAGACCAAAACCATCCTTTTGGAAGAGACTAGATAGACACAAATAAAACTCTGTCCATGGTTAGGTTTTCTATTGTGAGAGTGTGAAGTATGTCCGTGAGCTATGATAAAACAACAGCAAAAGGTTATATTCAGCTTTTAATGGAATGCCCATCCTAGATTATCAAAAAGCAAGACTGACAAGCAGGACCTGCTCAGGCCTACACCACTGTCTTTTATCAGGAGCTATCAAACAGGGTCTTAACTATTTCTGTATTGCAGAGTAATGAGGACTGTGTTAACGTGTGCCCTGGAAAGAGTCCAGAGATTCCAGAGTTGGAATGTAGCATGCACTATGTTTTCTGTCAGCCCACTTCAATTTTTTCAGCCTGCCATCTTGACAGCAAGAGAATAAAGGAGGTCACAGAGGGTGCTGAACATCAAAAATTAATAAAATAACTATTGCAGTAGTATTTTATATAAGTAACACCATTCACATTTTCCGATTTAAGCTGCAATTTCTGGATATTCTCCCATAATATAACTCACTCGAATAAAACTACAAAATTACAGCATTAGAAAAAGTCTTTCATGTCTCAGTCTTTAAGTATACACACAGAGGAGATTATAGCAGTACCTGAAAACAAGTTCAGCTATACCTCAGGGCCTGTTAGCATTTCCATAAAACTCTATTTCTAAGATTTATAAATTCATATCTATAAATATTCACTTAGGCTATAACTTCAGCTAAGCCTAGATGGAACATTCATTTTAAACAACAGAAAGTCCTTAATATTTTCAAGGACTTGTACCTCATTTCTAATAGGTTCTATATTAAGTTCCTTCACATTAATCTGTTTTGGAAATAACCTTTTTCCATATTGACAAAATTAATAAAGTTTTCCATCTTTAAAATAGTGCTTGCTTAAGTTTGAATGTAATAGAATCTGTAAAGAAGTTTAAACAGGCCCTGATAATATATCTTAAGACAAAAGCACATTTCATAACAAAGTGCTTTCAGAATGAGTTACAGCAAAGCCTAGCCGAGGAAGATTGTGTTAAATAACAGTGGTTTCAAATTTCAGGGGTGATGAAAATATAAAAATGGCTAAATACTATTTCTAATTTATCAAATATGGCTGCCAGAACTTCAAAATCTGCTTCAATATAGAAACCTACACAAAGTATGCCAGATATTTTTATAAGATTAAAAAATTACCATACTCGACTGCTATGTTATCTTCCCAAGTGTTTTCTCAAAACACTGGAATGCCCGCTTTTCCAAGAGCTGTTTGAATCTAAACAAAAACTAAAGAGTTAAATTTTGGATACCACCTAACAATACATAACTATCCACTGCCAGGAAAGGATATTTCTCTTTTTAATATGATCTCTAGCCCATTGATCAGTTTGTACCATTTTTTTTTCTCAGAATAAAATGTCTGCTGTTTGAAATAGAGGTTTTCTTTTGCTTAAATGGAAAAACAGTGTGACACCCAAGTTACTCTTCCTGCCATGGGAAAATGGTCACCTTTCAGCATTGTTCTTTTAAGATGCATTAGCTAATTATGGACAGTAATGTGAAGATAAAATCTCAGCTAGGCAATGTCACTTGGGTTATTTCAAATAAAATTATTCTGGGTTTTAAAAAAAATGTTTTTCACACATTGTTTCCCAACTCATGAGTACATGATAGAATCAAGTTTAATGACCTATAATCAATATTTTTTGAAAATAAAATAGAATAAAATGTCAGAATGTCTTGCATATATTTGGGATAAGCATTGTTTGGTCAAATATCTTTTTAAATTATGTTAAATGCCATATTTTTGATGCGTGATTATTTTATCAATATTCTGAAAAATTTGATAAATTGTTTATTTAATGTTTCAAGAGAGTTTGTTTATTGTTTGTATTTTTCCAAAATCATTTTTCATATAAAACCTTTCTGAAGTTTACTCCAGTTGCTTGTAGGCTTGATATCCCTTCAGGGAGGAAACTTAGTGTTGACAATGATGAAATAAGTGATCATTTTGGAATTTGCTTCATTCATGACACCGAGAATGTGTTGTCCCTTGTGAATCCTCACATATACTCCACGCTGCTCACATATACTCCAGTGCTGCTGTATGAATACAGAACTCCTCATAATTTCACAGTAAATCATTTCCCCAGAGCAATTATTTGTTATTTCTCAAGAATATTCTTCCACCTATATTCTTTTTTGGTTTCTAGTCATTCCCTAATTATCTTGTGTACACCAAGATTGGTTCTTGGAAGAATGGTTGTTAATGGTGATGGGCGATCTAGAAGTTCTCCAAAGTGGAGTTGTCTCATATTGTTTAAAATAAATTATAAATGGACATATTCCAATATTTATTATAGACTGAAAGTTTCCTGTGAAGTCCTATTGTGTCTGAGACTGGATCTATGTTTACAGTCTTCTATATGAATTAGATTCCTGGGTGAATTATCTCAAAAAATCTATGACAGGTCTGAGGATTTAGTTCAGTGCCTCCACCACCTCCACTGCAAGCACAAGGCCCCAAGTTCGATCCCCAGTACAAAAAAAAAAATCTATGATAGACACACATTTCAGTATTGGAACATGGAATCCATACATAGTCTACCCCATGTGCTTGAGTACGTTGAGTAAGGAGTAAGATAACTCAAGGACCTTCCACATCGTTTGCTGAGGACGTATGCTTTCTCAATTTCACATTTTACAGGTATGAGGTTGATTCCACATTCATTGTATTTATATTTTATCATATCAGGTCATGTAAATAACATGATGTTAAATGTGTTTCTTGCAAGTAGCTAATTTCAAAAAGGTTTGAAAGTTCTCTGTTAAATAAAAGAAATCATTAAGTCTATAGAAAGGTAACTTCTAAGTGTTGCATTTTAAAAGTTTTATTAAGAGAGAGAATTAGGATCACATCCTAAGGTCTTGTCCTCAATCTTTCTAGTTTATAAATTATATTCCCCTCTCCACAACTTACCTGCAGGTGATTAGAAGCAGGAGTCTTCAAATATATGAACCAAGATCATAAGAGAATGACTTAAAAACTTGAATCTCATTCATGGGAGAAATACCTGGCAAGATTCATACTCATCATATGAGTCCCTAAAAGTTGAATTATAGATGAGGTGATTTCATAGTGAAAATAGCATCAACAGAAATTTTGTTCAGAAGTTTTGTTCAGGGATATTTTCATGAAACTGCTGACTAATGTTCCCACAATACAAATACTTCCGTTTAAAAAATTGATTTTAAAGATGTCATTCTCTGCTGCTTTTTGGATAGTACCGTCTTAACACGGGTAAGTTGCTACCATCTAACTTGCCTTTTTCTAGAACCCAGGCAAGAAACCTTGGCTATATCAAATAACAGTTGATTCATTTAAGCAAATTATTGTGTTTTGTGTTTGTGTATGTGTGTCTGTGTGTGTGAGAAAGAGGAGAAATTCATTGATTTTTTTATATTTGATTGGAAGAAATCTCTTTATTTTATTTTATTTATTTTTTTTGATTGGAAGAAATCTTAATCTCATCTGTAAATAATGAATTGTTAAACTGTATCCTTGGGTGAAGTGAATCACTGTTTTTCCTAGTTTTAGTTTAGTTTTCTTTCTTGTTTTAGTTTAAAAATTTGACCACTTTTATGACCTTGTACTCAAATAATGAGAGCATCTTAATATAGCTCCCAATTCTGTGACTACTATCACTCAGCTATATAAATGGTGTTATCAGCTGCAGTGTGGCATTTTCATATGAAGTTCTCCCTATGAGTCAGATGGTTAAGAATGAGTCCTGCATGGCATAAACTAAGGATATGTCTTTCCTTCGATTGACTTCATAAGGATAATTTTTATCAACAACTATATTAGAAGAAAGAATAAAAATTTTTCAAGGGCATAAACTCATTTGAAGAAGTTTTGATGTTTCTTGTGATTTTACTGCCTTTTATTAATATGAGGTTGACATATTTTTTAGATTTATTGTCATTCCATTGTCCTGTACACATAGTCTTTTGCATATGTGAACACATATGTGTATACACACATAGAGACAAGATCTGAAATAACTTTCCAGGAGACATGTTAAGTAATAATTTCGGCTCAATGTAACTTACTTCCAACAAGCTTAAAAAATTGTTTTAAATGATTTTGCTGGTCAATTTTTTCTATTTTATCAAAGAAAAGGAAATTATTATTCTTTATTTTAAGTTTTTGATGCTTGCTTCAA